CCAGTGCTCCTTCTCTTTTACAGCTAAATAGAATTGCCTGTTTGAATGGATAGGTGAGAAAGGAAGAAAGCATTTTACACAGTGTGTGAATTAACAGAGTTACTGCCAGTGAAACAGTATATATAAGTAGAGCTGTGTTAACACAAGAGCTGTAGCTTCAGAAAGTTGCTCAGTATGTATTTTTGGCTCCCTCCCCACGACACCATGGAAGAGTGTGGATAGCTAACAGCATTTCCTGATTTTTCTTTCAAGTCAATTCTGTTGATTTTCCTCCAATCTCACTGTCCTGTACGACCAAACCTTCCCTACCCACACAGATCTTTCAAGCTGACAGAAAAGCAATAGAGAGAGCAGTTCTGCCAGTCTGGAGTACAGTCTCATGTTGACATCACCATAACCACATGCAAAGAGATTTGTAACGTGTGTTCTGTTAAATTACTGTTAAATTCTGTTACTGCATACTGCATAATCAATCAATCTGAGTCTTATCACAGAAATAGGCAGGTTTAGGTATACATATTACACATAGCAGGTACTACCAACCTCTGAAGCCGATTGCTCCTCCTGTGATGCAGCCGCTAATAACACTATTCTTCCAGTCTGACTTTCCACGATACTGTGGAATTAAAAATCACTGTCAACAAGTAAATATGGAATAAACACTCAGTATCTGTACTAATAGCAAGAAAGATGAAATGACCTTCCAGACCCTTCTCATGTGAGGATGTTTTTCCCTCTATTCTCAGCAGATGGCCCCCTGTACTCTCAAACATAAGACTTGCAGGACCAGGAGAAGAAGAAGGAACGGGTCACCGGGAGAGGTAAAACAAATCCACATGGTGCAATGCATTGCTATGGCAAAGATTCTCAGGTGAGCTGATACAGCCCCCAGAACACAGCACTGTGCACTAGCACCAGCTCAGAGATTTTAAAGGCACTGTAACTACATGAGTGCAACGCTGAGCCTGGCCATGCACCATGGTTCTCAGCACAGGTGCGAGCCACAGCACTCTGCTGACAAAGATGTACTATGTCCATAGCCAGAGCACCCTAGTTTTTCACCAGTGCAGAGATCTCTTTGTTATGCTCCATTGTGCAAGAAGATACACTGTTCTTCTAGATGAGTTAAGAAATAACTGTGTCTTTCAATTAAAAGGCAGTACTCAAATTCATAACAGGCTAATTTTCCTATTTAAGAAAATGGATGATAGATTTATGACTGAGCTGCACAAGGTCATTTCTTGCTGCAGGGGCAAGATGCAAATAGGCCTGTTACTTAAGAACTTTCATCAAAGGATCCCTTTCTGCATATGGAATTTTTAGAGGCTCAAATTACCATGTTGCAACTTGCAGTTTGATGTTTTAAAGTAGCAACAAGTACTTGTAGCTAGGGTTTTAAAAAGTAATGCCTCTACTTGCCAATACATTCAGGACTTGAACTGAAAAGGCCTTCGCTACTGCATGCTGTTCTGCTCATTCTGTCAGAGAACAGCAGTTCTGAAGACAGGTCTCAAAGCTGAAAAGCTTTGATGGCCAAGAAACAGAACAAACTAGCCTACTCCCTTGCCCCATTACAAAGGGGATATACATACTTATTTGGATCTAGTAAAAGAGATTAAGTGTACAAGAAAACATTTCTTAATCCTTAAGAAGTTATTACTCACAGATTCCACCACACATTCGGTGCAGGAGAACATGGCACCCACAATGGCAAAGTTCTTTGCGTAGGATATACCTCGCTGCCCCATATCTTTGAGGACCTCTTTTGCGGTTGGCGTGCGATATGGATCCTTAGGATCAAACCCAACGTTGGTGTCGATGCCAGCTGTGAAGACACCAAATGCGCCTCCCAGAACAAATCCTGTAAAAGACAAAACAGTATAAAATGAACCTTGGCCGGATTTGAGCAGCACATTCCCCACAGGCACCAGAGCACCTCTGCTCCCCCTGTCTGTCAACGCTGCAGCGTGCAAGGAGCAGCGCAGGACACAAATGGCCTGTCTCTTGATACTACAGACACTGCTGCTGACACCCTCCTCGCTGGCCGCCTGTGCTGTGCTGAGGAAAGGCTGTGAGCACCTCTTCCTTTGCAAGGCAGACAGACAGACAGACAGACAGAGATCTCTCCCTGGGACCTGTGACAAACACTGGAGGAGGCTTAGAGGGAGGAAAATTACACACGGGCGTCCCTCTGCTGCAGCTTCTTCTCCATCCGCCCCTCTCCCGACGCCACGGGACCCCCCCCACTCCCCAGCCGCCCCCGCAGCTGGCTGCCCACCCCCCCCCAC